AACGCAGTGTTTGAAAATCATTTCTTTTAATAAAAGAGTAATTTTATTAACCAGGAATAGGATAAATAGGTTAACATGTGACAAAGGGAGACTGGCCAGCAGCAAGAAATCACGGTATTATGTGGTTATTTTAGAATTGTAAAGGACCTTAGAGAGGATCTAGTGTAGTCTCCTCATTTTACTTCTCAAATTTCCTGAATTTGGTTTTTAGCCTGGTCAATCCGCAGAAACAGCTCTAGGTCTGCCAATGAATTTCTTTTAACTAAGGCCAAAGGACATTTTTTTCTGTTGTCATCTTACTTGACATTTCCATGGTACCTAACGTTACTGGCCTTTTCTTTCTTCCTGAAGCACTTTCCTCTTTTAACCAGGTGACACAGCAATCTCTGCCTGGTTTATCTCCTACTTTTTCTCTTTGGCAGATATATCCTTATCTACCTGGTCTACAACAGTTGTATTTCCTAAAGGCTTTATTCCAGGTCCTCTCTTCTTCTCACACTATACTCTCTTAGACAATATTATGATAATATAACTTCTGTTATCCTTATATGCAAATCATACATGAATATATGTTTCTATACAGACCTATACATCTAACTGTTTCTGAAACAATTCCTATTGTATGTCTCAAAAGCTCCTCAAACTCCTCATGTCAAAATATAGCTTTTGATAACTCCTTCAAATCCTGCTCTTTTTCTGTTGCACGTGCTTCACTGTCACCAACTAAAGACCAAGACATCATCTCTAACACTCCCTCTCCATCATTTATTATATCCAGTTCTTCACCAAACCCTATTGATTTTTTTCTCCCCAATATTTCCCAAGCCTTTCCACTTCTCTCCATCTCAATCTTCATGACCTCATTTGAGATATCCTTATCTTTAGCTTGTACTGCTGCAATAGTCACCTTACTATTCTACCTGGACCAGCAGCTGACACTCTCCCACTTCATTCTGTATACTGCAACCAGAAGGATTGTTCAAAATCAGAATTTGATTATGTAACAGCCGCTAGTTAACACTTTGGCTCTTTGTTGATCTTTTGGTAAAATAAGGAAACCAACTTACCATGACCTAAAAGTTCCATATGGTCTTAACCAGGTGTATGTTGCCCTTCATCTTATCTCCTACTTACCTAATTTCTTCTCCTCTAGATATACTAGTCTTTTTGTTTTAAGCCTTCATGCTTGCTATATTGCTTAAACCCATGGAATAACAATCTTTGGTTAACACCAGCTTATTTTTCAATAATATCTGCTCAAGTATTATTTCCTCAGGAAGGCCTTTCCTGACC